GCAGTTCTGAAGGCAAAAGGGGGTCCAACCCGTTACTAGCATGGGGTACCTAATAAAGTGGCCGGTGAGTGTACATGAAACACATAGATATGAATGTCAACTGTGTCAGGAGAGATTTATTTATTAGCAGATTTAAACAACATACCATTAAATTGTAAAATACACAATTTATTCAAAATAGAGTTAAAATGATTTTCTGAATAATTCAATGGCAATAAAAAATATATATATATACATTTTTATGAATATAATAACTTCATTTTATAGGCATAAATAGATATAAAGTAAATAAAATATATGCTTCAATAGATAATTATGAAATAAAAATCACTTTTTAAAGATATATGAAACAATTAGATGAAATAATTAAATGTTATTAAAAATCCAATTCTTGAAAAACAAGCAAATTTAATAAAAATAAATTCAAAAGTACTTTATTAATCTATATGGGAAATTAAATAATTAAACCAATTAGATGTCAAAAAACATTAAAATTGATTAGAGTTAGTTGACTTTTGTGTATAAATAGATATGGAGTGAAGTAACTGAATGTTGTAAATTAATTGTGTAGGCGTTAAAATGTTGAGGATCTTTTTGGGCTCTGAAAAAGGGAAGAGGAGCCTCCAAGCATTGGATCTGGAATACATTTTACATTTAATTGACTACATTTCTTTTTATAATTCCCTAAATCTGTCTGTTCACCTCAGATCCGTCGAAGAAGGCCGACCCCCGCCACCCTGCAGATCTACAGACAACCTGGGACAGGTGAGGAAACGCAGAGAGCAGATTGTGAGAGGCATGGAGATAGATGAAAAGCATAGCAGCAGCTGCAATAATGGATGCTTTATTAGATCACTGGTTGTAAAGTGATCTGAGCATCCAGTGTGTTGCTCTCAGCTCCTGCACATCCCTCCACAGAGGAGCTGACTGATTCAATAATGAGGCTTATTTCACTCAGAGTCGGGTTCCAGCACTGCTGTGTTCAATTCCGCTGCAAGTTTGATCATTTCTACTACAAAAGAAAACAATATCATCTACAAATTGGAGAGAGCTGAAGTGTTTTTGCTCCTTTTTATTGCAATGATCTGGCTTCCTTCAGTCCCCCCGTCTGCTAGCAGCTGAGAAACAAGGTGAAGAACTCATTGCAGCTGTTATTTTAATATTTTTTCGCTAAGACAGCAGCTAAAATGGATTCAAATTATTTGTTTTCGAAAGTATCAAATTAAATTATCTTGTTAAATTGTTAATGCAAAGAAAAAAAACAACAAAGGAATTCCATTATGAGGGTTTGGTTAGAAATAGTAGGTAAAATTCTCCACTAAATTTGATATTAATTGCTTTTAGAAACAAAACAAAAAAACAGGAAGTGTACAAAAACAATCTGACTCCAGTTTATGTTTCTTTTAAACACCAACAAATGTGGCTTTTCTATATTTTACTCACCGTCTGTTCAATGTTACAAACACATGCTTAACTGATCCACAGTTGGGTGCCTGTATTTCTAAAAAATGTCTGAATTATCCCATAAAAAGCCAAAAAGGCGAAAAATTATTTCTCAAATTTTTTAAACTAAGGGTCTTCAACATTCCTCAGTTTGTAATATAACATTTGTTATATAACAAAGGAAATCCAAAAGGTAAATATTTACAATATTTACATTACCAAAAATACCAAAATCAATTTGGTAATTAATTAAATAGGGCTATAAAGGCATCCTGCCTGTTAGTGTCTGAGAGCCTGAATAGAACACCAGTACCAGCAGTAATGAGCCGATGTGGCGCCATCTACTGGCAGTACTGCTGAAATACCAGAAAACCAGCTGATTGCAGTGATGCTGCTACTAAAGAAGTTCTGATTGTGCTATAATGCCTCATGGAAAACTGGGAGGATAAAGCTCACTAACAGCAGTAGCACTATTAGGCAGAACATGTTTGTCAACTATGCTCACTCACTTTGCTTCCTGAGCTTTAGCTTTAGGGAACTCAATTCAATTTTAATTCAGTTTATTTCTATAGTACCGATTCACAACACGTCATCTCAAGACACTTTACAGTTCAACCAGATCATACAGTCAGATTAGTTCAAAGTTTTCTAAGGAAAACCAGCTGATTGCATCGACTAACTGACTTGAATGCAATCCCTTATACTAAGCATGCTTGTAGAGACAGTGGAGAGGAAAAACTCCCTTTGAACAGGAAGAAACCTCCAGCAGAACCAGGCTCAGTGTGAGCTGCCATCTGCTGAGGCCCACTGGGGTTCAAGGAGACAGAAGCAGACATAAACCCCTTTCACAATGGCCCAAAACCCCAATGAAACATTTTAGGTTTAACTGGGGTTTTCTGCTGGTGGTGTTCCCCTGCCCAAAGTTCTTGTTTCTCCGCACCTTCCATACTGCTGAGTGTTTTCTATATTGTGGCATTTTTAAACAACTTTTTCCAAGAAAAGCGAACAAAAAATATATTGTAAATATTGCAGGGCACGTGTTCTGATAGCTTAGTGACAAAACTAGGGGGTATTTCGTAATTCAGATATCAAATTATATAGTTTTGACTCGTCAAAATTAACTTTGAGATATATTGATTATGATTCCAGATGAGTGAAACTTTAAATGATAAATCCATGATGCCATTTGAGATCTTAAAAGGCATTTTGACTCTCCAGAATGTGATTGATTGATATTGTGAATTGTTATTTTCACTAGTCATAATATAATTTCAGATAGAAGGGAAAATTCTTCAGACTTAAGTGACTGTGTGTTTATAAACCGATTTACACATTTGTAGATTTTAGTACGCATTTGCAAATCCTAACACACATTTGTAGATCTGAATACAGATTTGTGGATTTTTTACACATTTACAAAATTAATTACACACAAGTTATTTTACACATTTGCAGATACCTGTACAGACAGACAAATCAAATCCCACTGCACTCACAAATCTACATACAGACACAGACCTCTCCACACACATTTGCAAATAACTTTGCAACAATATTGCTCCCATATTAAATGCATAGGTGTATGTAAATATCTGACCTTGTTGAAAGCAATAAAACAAAATAAGAAACATTTCTTGCAAGAAATAATGTTAACATTATTTCACATCCTTGGACGAAGAGAGAGTTCTCTGACTGAAGCATTTCAGTACATACATTTATACTTTACAAAATCCAGTAGTGCCAAAAGTTCACATATTTGTTACTTAAGTAGAAGTATAGATACTGCAGTTTGAAAACACTCTG